CTCTTTCCTTTGAGAATTATATGGAATCCATATGTACATTCTGTAGGCACAGTGCAGAGTTGTTGAATGTTAAAGCATGTGGTACATATAATTACCATTGGACCTTAAAAGGTTTAAAGTCTGGCCAGAGCATCTAGTAAAGGGGTATAATTCCCCTATTACCATATTATTAAGGATAAATGGGGGTAGTTGCGAGAAAGTATGTATTGTTACTACGTCTGTATTATGACCTATAACATTTAGCACTAAGATTTTGGGAATTAAATTTTGCTGTCCACAGTTTGGACATAAAGTGCAGTTATAATAGCTACACTGCCTTGACTTAACTACCAAAGCCTCTTTGTGAAAGTGGGTGTACCATTTGAAGGTAGGAAGAGTTGTATCCTATCCCTCATACCCGAGGGTACTTTGCTGCTTAATACCTCATGGAAGAGGCTATATTGGAAACCTGGGCATATTTGGGGGCATAAAAATGTTGATGTTGAGAATTAAGATGTGAAGGTGGAGACTTGACTGAACTGTCTCAGACCAGAGACCACTGGCAGGCCTTTCCAAATATTTTAACAAACTGCTGAGTTCCTTATATATTGAGTTTTGATGGTAGGAACATTGTGTATATGTACTGTTTTCCGTGATGCTATGCCACTGATTATACATGGAGGAAAAGTCTTGTATCTTTATTATTCATTTTCATATAAGCAAAATGTAATATTTAAAAATAATATTATTTCATTACTTTTATGGGGGTTTTCAGTTTAGCACTCATCTTGCATTCCATTGTGTTTGACATCCACAACTTGTATCACAATTAGTCACTCTCTGTAGCTTTCATAGATGCTAACAGTCACACCTCATTCACAATTCAAAGTCGCCTTATAGCACAAGTGTGTGCCTTCATCATTTTGCAAAGGTAAGAGCATGAATTTGCTTTCATACTTCTTTTTATAAGCTGTATAGCTATTATGGTGCTTAATAATCCTGTCAATATGTTATTTACTTTACAGATAATTTAATTGCAGCAGAGCATTATTTCAGTGTAAATATATATCCACGAGCTCTTTGTCAGCAGAATAATGGACTTTGTAGAAGTAGCACTTTATACCGGAAATCTGTAAAACATCAATCACTATATATAACTTAAACTTGCTTTCTGCTAAACTAATGTTATGTGGAATTACATCATGTGTTTCAAGGTTACAGTGGTCAGTGGACATGAACCTCTGGTCCTCTGTTGAGTAAAAATGAAATTATTCTACGTCACTAACTCGACTATAAAAGTGTGCATGAAAGTATGACCTGCTTTAGCATGCCAGGTCAGGTCAGGTCAGTTGTTGGCAGCAGAGGGCATCAGTGTTTCCTGATTGGAGACAGTCTGTATTGAACAGAATTCAAATGTTGGTATTGGCATGGTGGCATTAATATATTTAGCTAAATGATACTAAATGTTTGAATAATTGGTAGCTTGAAAAAGTCAATGGACCTTCTTCCATGTGAGCTTTCCTGTCACACTCATCTGTCAGTGTTGGTGCTAGAAGCACCTTGCAGGCGACTTCCTTTATTTCTCATTACCTGTGTAAGTACTGCCGTTATTGCCTTTCTTGCCTGTTGACAGACACTAATAGCCAGAATAGATGATGCGCCTGTAAAGAATTCATTAAAGCATAAGTATATGAATCAGATGTTAAATGTGGGGAATTATAATAATAACTGGAGTTCGTATTAATCTGCAAGTCCCTTTGTTCTGTATTGTCATTAATACTCTATCTGTGGTGTGTTTGCATTAGAAATGTATTTTCACAAATCTGGCCAGGAGAGACAGACCTGAATAGAAGGAAAAACACTTTCTCCTTCTTTTCTCTATTTCTCTCTCTTTGTGTGTGTGTGTGTGTGTATGTGTAAGAACTGACTGATAATTGCTGCAATACGTCTCTTTTTTAACTTTTTCTTTTGTGGTTCTCTCACTGTTCTTGTCTGTTCTTGTTTAAAGCAGCAAATGGGTGGAACCGAAGGGACATGAAGCACTGAAATAAGCATTGCATCACATATATATATACTTTTATCCATTTCCCTGCTATAAATGCAGCTTTTCACATGGAAATAATGTCTTACATGTAGGAGCTGTATAATGTTTGTGTGATGTAACAGCATTTATGAATTCTTCATGGAGGTTTTTAAGAATGCTATTGCATTTGGATCTATTTTAGAAATGTTTGTTGTGTAAGATTTGAGGTTTTCACAGCAGTGAGTATGAAGATTTCTGTCTTCTCGGTTGTTGCGCTGTGTAGTCTGGTCGATGTTAACCAACGTTTCAGAGGTCATACTGCCTCCGTCATCAGGGTGATGAATATGCCAATAGGGTGTGTGGGGCTAGTTTTGTAGGTGCCGGAATGTGAATGGAGTAGCCTGCCTCGAGCCAGTGGGAGTGGACCAATAGGAGAGCGTGGGCAGGCTACTCCATTCACATTCCGGCACCTACAAAACTAGCCCCACACACCCTATTGGCATATTCATCACCCTGATGACGGAGGCAGTATGACCTCTGAAACGTTGGTTAACATCGACCAAACTACACAGCGCAACAACCCAGAATACAGAAATCTTCAATGTTTGTTGTGTCTAATAGAAAAAAATATGGCATAAATATGTAACATGTATGGAAGACATGCAGAATATTAGTTGGAAAGCCTGAAAGGAAGATATCGCTTATGAAAGATCTAGTTGTAGATGAGAGGGTAATATTAAAATTGATCTTAAGGAATAGAATGGGGAGATAGAGAAAAGACAACTGATTTGGTATGGACATGTGCAAAGGATGGAGGAGGAAAGGTTACCAAAAATGACTATGAAATGGCAACCAAAAGAGAGACGGGAGAGAGGAAGACCGAGAGCAGGATGGAACGACGGAATTACAAGAATCTTGATAGAGTGGAAACTACCTCCGGAAGGATGGGAAAATAGAGAAGAATGGAAGAAAATATTTGGCACTGGAAGACCGAAGTAACGGTCAAGAAACAGAAGAAGAAGGAATAAGATGTGAGGATGTGGAATGGATTCATCTAAATCAGAATAGAGACCAGATGTGCTCTTTGAACATTGTAATGAACCTTCAGGTTCCATTCAAGATCAGGAATTTTGACTAGCTTAGTGACTGTTGGCTTTCCAAGGACTGTTCAGTGTTAGATAGTTCAGTGATATGCCTTCTTTACAATATACATTTACTTTATTATTCCTTACTGTATTGGCTATTATACATTCACAGTTTTGTTGCACATCCATGTTCTAGTTATTTGTTGATTGTTGGCATGCTGAAGGATTCTTGCTTTTAAAGTTGATGTTTATAACTGGCATATGTAAGCATGTTTTTTGGTTTTCAGAGGTCGGGTGTTTAGATGCCATGTAAGTTATACATTCTGCTGTGAATGTATTCAGTGTCTGTTGATATAACAGCACATTAGTTCAGAGCTTTCTAGTAATGTGCTCTTTTCACAGCTTTCAATTCTGCACTGATATGCTGACATTAGGCAGTGTTTCCATGTCTGTTAAAGTATGTTTTTCTTTGTGTATCTAGTGTACGTTTTATGGTGATGGACCCCATTTGTTACCAAAATTTTAGTTTTTTCTTTGTGGGCAGCATTTCAGATGTAGTATTTTGTTTGTTTGCTGTAGGGTTATTAAACAACTCACTTCATTTTGTTTGAAAACATTTTTCTTTTTTCCTGTTGATGTGTTGTATAAGGGTATCACAGAGCAGCAGTTAATGATTACTTCTGATGTTACATGTGGTGCACGTGTTTCTGCTATGGTGGAGACAGTATTAAGTACTGTATTCTCCATACTGTAGCATCCATGTAATACTTCACATGGAATATATTTAGAACTTTGTGCTTTCTGTTACTTTGTTTTGTGTGTTGAGTACTCACACTGTATGCTTGTTCATCTATGGTTTCAAGAATAATGGATGCAGCTTAGTAAGGAATATTCTAAAAAATTATACAAGTGCCGCATTATGGCTCTGCTCTGTTCTGTTATTGGAATCTTCATCATCGTGTCTCTGTGGCTCTGTTTAATACTGATGATCCAGTACCTGAATAATTTATTTTTCATTAATCTAACTTGAAAATGGTTGAATGCTCTGGATTTTTTTTTTGTTTAACAGTTCTTTTTGCGTTAGAAATGTTCTGCTGAGGCTGACTTTCACTTCATAACTCAAAGTTGTTTTTCCACTGTATTTATTTTAGGTTGTTGTTGAAACTTGGTCTCTCACATTATGGGAAGAACACAGACTGAGTGTCTTTGAGAACATGGTGCTGAGGACAATTTATGGACTTGAGAGGGGTGAAGTGACAGGAGGCTGGAGAAAACTGTATAATGAGTAGCTTCATAATGTGTACTCTTCACTGTATAGTATTATGATGATCAAATCAAGGAGGATGAGATTGGTGGGGCATGTAGTGTGCATGGAGGAGAAGAGAAATGCATACACAATTGGTTGAAAATCCTGAAGGGAAGAGACCTCCTGGAAGACTTAGGCATAAATGGAAATACAATATTAAAACATTTTTTAAGGAAATTGGGTGGGAGGATGTGAACTGGGTTTATCTGGATCAGAATTTGGACCAGTGGTTGACTGTTGTGAACAGAATAATGAATTTCCAGGTTCCATAAAACTTTCTGGGAGCTTTCTAACTAGCTCAGTGACTGTCATCTTCTTAAGAATGATTTACTCTTCTAGTATGACCAAAATGTGAATGTGCATGTTGTTTGGCAGGTGTGCATAACAACCAAAACATTCAAAATTTGAAATCAGTTGTTTCCTCTAATCAAAATCAGTGATGATCCAGCTTAACTTCACAAATTTGTTCTCATGCTATGTTATGCAGTTTGGTTTATTGCACACATTTACAAGTAAGTGTATACTATAGCATATACATATTTTGTATGGAATGTTTTCCAAGATATTGCATACCTTCAGTCTGCTCAGTAATGTAGAAATACAGTGAAATTAGTAACAGAATTTTGTTTTCTGTTAAGAAAGAAAAACTGTAGTGTGTGATGTGACCCTTGAGGCATGGTGGAGAATTACTAAATATGGCTGTGCAGAGCTTGACAGCCTTGTCTTGGAAATAGTTTCTCATATAACTCCTATATGTCATTTAATTTTCAGTTATTTTTACAGACTCCAACTATAGAAACTATTGTAATTTTGAAATGTTTCTAATTTATGGTGTGTAAAGCCAAGCATATTTTATATCACTTATGTATTATTCATTTTATGCTGCCAGTTATTAAGTTTAGAGTTTTTTCTTAGTATAATGTATTTTGGCATTTATCTTTATGCAATATAATGTATATAATTACATATCTGTTTGTTTTCATGCTACTTACTTCTGCTTTAAATTATCATTTCAGGACCATCGATTATGGAGCGAAGGATGTGAATCCAAGCAATCTTACAGTTGTAGGGTAGTGAGGAAGCAAATCAAGTTTGTAATAAAACTTTATTGGCTGTGAGTTACTAAAGGGACCAATAGAAATATTTGTTGGTAGTGAGTGGAACATTTTGTTTGCAGTGTAGGTATGAGTATTTGCCTCTCTCAGTACTTACATTTAATACGAGAAGTTCCTGAGTGTCAGTTTTGTTTGAACAGCTGAAGCGATTCTGCATCAACAAATATATATGCATATGTAAAAGAGTGTCTGTAATTTAATGTAAAGTGATTAAGCTCGCCAATTAATTTATTTTTTCTTACCTGTGATGCAGAGCAATACGTGGTCACATGAGATGATGTTTGCCAAGTTAGTTTCTTTCACCATTACATGTTTCCTGAGTTCTCAGTCTAGTGTTATCCTAGTGCTAAATTTGGAATTGTGTGGAATATACAAGTTTGTTGAATTCAAAATGTGTCTTCAGATTGATACAAAGGCGTTCTTTTAGTGATAATAGTTTCAGTAGTGCTTATAGTGCTGCAGTATCAAGGAAATCATGCCTTGTGTAGATAATGAACAGTTATTGTTAAATATTGTGTAAGGAGTTATCTAAATATTGAAATAAGGCTTAGTTGCCAAGAATAGTCTTCTGGTGTTAGATCAGAATACTTTATGCCAAATGAGTGGTAATCTGTTATATTTCACATTATTGTCATCATGCCACTGTTGTCGGGCGAGTTTGAGTTAAGCAGGATAATTTAACCTCATGTTTTAAGTGAAATTATGTGAGCAGCATTCAGAAAAATTACTAACTGTGTTTGAAAAATTTTACTTTTACATTGTGTGATCTCTTTTTTGATCAGTTGTTAAAGGTTTTTGAATGCTTTAATTTCTTTTATCAATCATATTTTTTCATCATCTTCCATCTTATATTGATTTGCAATAGCTCTGGCCTGAAATGGGAACATTTTTTATCTTCTGTATTAATGAGTACTTGACAATTTACAAATATTTTATTTCTGACTTAAATAGACATTATCATTCAGTGTACTTATGAAATATCAATGCTTTGACCACAGTCTTTGAATCTAAGATTTTGGGAGCTTTAGTATTGAGTTTTAATTGGATGGTCTTTTATTAGTTTTGAAAAAATTACTAGGGGCCAGTTATAATCTGGTAAAAACTAAATTAAACTGGAAAAGTTTCTATAAGCTCCATATTTGTTCTGTAAAACTGGTTTCTGGAATGTGTTTTGTTTTCCTGTGTCTTTCTTTATTTGCAAGCATGCTGTGTCTTAGAGGAATGTTCAGTGAATTGTGATGTTTAAATTTGTTATGGAGACTATGAATGCTGGATTACATGTTTTACAGACAATATTGAATGTTCTTTGTCATTTATGATTATATCAGGGAATTTAATTTTTATGCCTTTCTGGGATATGTTATAAAATAATGTTAGGGCCCTTTATAATATAAATAGGATTATAATTATGAAGCTGAGTGGGTTTGTAGCCTTAAATATCATGTCATTCCCAAATCCCATGCATTCTCCTGTAACACAAATCAGATCTGGCATCAGAAGCTCCAATGCAACATTTTGTTTGATATATCTTTTTCTTCTTCTTCTTCTATGGCAGTTATAAATTTCCAGTGTGATGCAAGGTTTAACATTTGTTGTAGTTTATAGTTAAATCACAGTCGATAAAGAGCTCTCTAAATATGAAAGCGGAAGAAACCAGTGTAAATAACATGAAAGGAAACATTGCATAAACGTGTTTAAAAAAGAATTTCACATATTTGCCTCCTAGGCTCCATGCCTTGCTGCAGGGGCAGTTTGATGATGTATTTTCACCCGGATCTGAATGTGTTGGTGGCACTCTGCATGGACTGGGAACCGCATGTACATAACTGAAGGGCTAAGGATATCAGAAAGTCCAACAGATACGAATTTTGGTGAAGTAGCTGTTTACCCTTTAGTAATTTTGTACAAGTTAGGCTTCATATTAGGACATGTGTCTGAATGTAAGTGCAGCCTACAGCAGCATTGTTGTTTGACGGTTGTGAAACTTCAAACAAGATTTTGAGAGCTTATGTCTCTCTGCACTTCTTTGATGTTACTGATGATAATGATGTATATCCAAGAAGTTGCAGGTGCAGTTTCTGTGGAATTCTGTGTTACAGTAATTATAAGAAGAAAAGACAAATAAGATGATGGGTGGAATTGTATTTTACTCAGTGACATTTTACTTATTTGCATTCGACAGTTCTAGAAACTTTTCCCCAAATGTCACGTCATGCATTCCTTGAAGTTTTGCATAAATATGCCTTGCTTTTAAAACATAAGCTTTCTCACATGACCAGTAATAACTCATTTCAGTAAATTCTTTGAAGAAACTACAAGAATTTAATTGATAATAAGCATTAGTTTCTGGCATTGCAGTTGATAAATGGCTGGAAATATTAGTAAACACATCTACTTTTATACACTTTTGTGCAGTTTCCTGTCTGTGATGGAAAATTCTGCTGAGCGAAGCAGTTTTGATCAGATTCTTTGGCAATGTTACCCAAACCTTTCGTCAGTGGTCCCCAACCTTTTTGTGCCTCCGGGCACATTTGAGAGATAGTGGCGGACACCAACCAATTAACAAAGCCAAATTTTCTTTTCTCTGGAGAAATAAGATATGGACACCAAATAATACGCAAAACAACACAACGTTTAATGATACAAGAATCGATGCAATCAAAAATACGTAGTTTCACAAGTACAATTATTATTACTCAAGTGGGAAGTTAGTGTGATGTTTGACGTTGCATTTCATCGGCCAGTCTTTCGAATTTGGGAGTGTAGGATGATGTTGCTGCTCGCAAACAATCGTCAATATGGGAGTCAGTAAGTCGAGATCTGCGCTTTGATTTTATGATGTTCATGGTTGAACGGCCTTCATTATTCAGTATAACCTCTTCTCGTAACAACGCGGGCACCCAAAAAGAGCCTTGGCGGGCACCGCGTTGGGGACCGCTGCCTTACACAGATATTACACAACAGTTTATTTTATTTTAAAGTGTATGTGCATCAAAACTCTTGAGCAACATTGCTGTTATAGACTCTACATATCTTTGAAATGAAAAAGAAGAAATGAAGCAAATGTATTATGGTATCACATTTCAGACTGATGTCTTGTGTTTGTTGATGGTATCTGATACAGAAATTTGACTCTCATTATTTTATTTTATATTTTTCCCCTAAGGAACATTTGATATCAATATTGCTGGAGCCTTAGAAATGGCTGTGGAGGTGGTCTATATGTGTTGAACAGTCAAAGGTACTTAACTGCTCTGTATTTTAAATATATTATTTTACAAGATTACTGAAAAGTAGTGTTAATCAAACTCTACTATAGAAGTTTTTGGTGTCATAACTGTAATAACTTTACATGGCATTTATGCACAAAAGTACTTGTTTAGGGGTCTATTTAATAATTGCAATATAGTGTGTAATAAATTTATTTTGTGTTATGAATGGGGTTATTTGTACTTCTCTGAATAATTCTGTCATTAAGAGTGAGATGATCTTAAGACTACAGTAAACCACACAATAGGGATTTTGCTAAAAACTATTCATATTTCTTCAGGCATTTTCTTTTCTTCTGTGATGTTTACCTTCGTAACAGGATGGAGTAGCTGTTTAAAATTAAACTCTTTCACTAGTTTTCAGTTCTAAAGTCTTGATATGAAAGTATAAAGAAGCAAAAATGAATATCATAACTTTCTCCATAAAATTAAATTTAATAAAAGTTGCCTCATATTTGAATCTTTACTGTGCCGTGAAATTAAGATATTGAAGGTGACAGGAATTGACGAATACGTATGTGACATTACGGACCTAAAGTGAGATTTGAGCCTTTTTTGGCTGTGGGTATGAAGATGATTCTCTTATTGTTTGTTGTTGTGCTGTGTAGTCTGGTAGAAGTTATCCAATGTTTTAGAGGTCCTAGCTGCTTCAATTGTATGTACAGGTAGCCCTCGATTTACGCCGGGGATGTGCTCCTGCCGGAATCGGCATAAATTGAAACTCTTTTATAATGTAAATCAATGGGAAGTCAATGACATGCGTTCCCAGCACCCAAACATTGGCAAGTAATATAATGGCATTACATTTAAAGCTCTGAAATAACTTAAATAAAATAAAGGGAATTTAAAAATATATTTTATTGACTGCGATTCTTTCATGTGATTGGTGTGTACCGTCATCTCTGCTGTTATGCGATAGTTGCATTCATGTAAGACGCCGACCTATAGAAAATCGCGTAGTAAAAATAACCCCGGTACCTCCGCAGAGATTAAATTAGTCATTTGAAAGTTTAAAGCGCCAGGAATTAAACTGTATAAGAGCAAATGCGAATATGTAAAAGTTTGCATTTCACAAACAGCTTTTACCGATTCATCGATCTCGTTGGAGCAAATTCGCGTTAACGAAACATACGTAATTGCAGAGATGACTGTATTTATAATTTTTATTCAAAATCAGCGACGTAAGAATTACGATTTAGTATAAGAAGCGGTACGAGAAACATTGTAAAACGTTATAAATAATAGAAAAATATTTTTTTTTTCACATTTTGACTTTCTGGTTTCAAAATCGGCGCAAATCGAGGGCTACCTGTAGTGAGTTTTGAGTTGACAAAGGAGATACCTGGAATTTAAGTCGACAGAGGTGAGTGAACACACTGCAGTTCCACTCCGTTCGTTTCTTGTAGTTTTGGCGCTGACTGTCGTCTGCATTTCGAATCCTTTGAGACTGTCTGCCGTCTTTATTGACATTGAGGAGGGTGATGTAGATCACAGTGCAGAAGTTGGTTGATTTTAAACCACTACTGAGTGGAAGCTGTGGAGGAAGTTTATAAAACTTCGTATTGTACAGCAAATGCAAACTATGACTGATAATAGGAAATATTACTGTAACCATCAGCAAATTGCATGCTTCAAGGCTATGGAATGACTTCGCCTAGCTCCTAACTCGACTCTAAGTCGCCACTACTGCCTTGATAGCTTTGATACGCAGAGAGTTCTGTACTGTCTTCACTCACCAGGGCCCCGTTGTTTGATTTTGCTGTGACGGCTACTGTAATCGGCTATAATCGTCCAAGCCTCTGATTAACTAGGTCATATGCAAATTTCATCAGTTGTAACTGACCGTACTCGTGTATTACCACGATATAAGGGAACCTGCCACCCCAATGCTTAGAAGGCCTGGAAATTGAAAACTGTGTTCAGTGAGACAAAAAGAAACGTGCTGAGATTTTCAGTATGTGGAGTGAATAACAGAACGGTGGAATCAGCTTTTGTGTGGAGATCTTTTTGTGAAACATGAATGCATTAACGGATGGCTCTGTGCTCTCACTGTAAAGCAGCCAAGCTTTGAATCGTATACTTCAGTGTCCTTTACTGCATGCGGCGACCACTGCAATGAAAGCAGTTAACTAACCACTGGAACAGAATCCCACGTACTTCTTTGTGGACGTTGCGCCGTGTAGTCTGGTAGAAGTTTGCCGACGTTTCAGAGGTATTTACTTCCTCCATCGTCAGGGCGACAAGTGCAGAACAGCCGATACGATCTGGAGTACCTAATCTCAGTCTCTCATCTGATAATCTGCTCTTTGAACCTTCTGTTTCTTTATGGTCTTGCCCTGTTGCTACTCACCTGTTACATAATCCTCGAGAAGGATCTCATCCATCGAGTTACGAAGTTAGAGAACACAGCCGGAGCTGAAGAAGAGAATTCAGGAGAGTCGGGGCCGATTACAGAGTGTCCGGACGTGGTCCGACTGTAGTGAATTTGGCGCTCCCAAATTGAGACAGTCTGTGGCTAATTTGGGGCTTCATTTACATTTCTGCTTTCTTGTTTGTACATTAGTCCTAAAGCCTTTCGCATCCTCAGTGTCTTCGCCGAAACAAGCGTTATTCTTACGTTAATCACAGCCATAAAATAAAAAATGCGCCAGTGAACAAGACCAGTACAAAATGACATTACGTTCAACTCATACTTGAAAAGTTTAATAAAATGCAGAAAACCCATCTGTGCGCTTATCATCTTTTATCCACCTGTGTGAGAGGTTCGCCAATGGCTTCAACGAATATAATTTTGCATCATCAGACCTATAATTACAGGAAGATAATGTAGTATTTGTATTCAGTAGGCCTTTAAGCTTTATCAATCCATTCCATGTTCAATGACGTAGTTCCTGTCCATAATATAACCACACACACAAGCACACACCATATGCAGACATAAATCGATAGCGACAGAAGAAGACAGATGCAAGTGATGAAAGGTGAGTGTCGGGGGGACTCTACTGGCTTGCGCACCGCGCAAGGAGTGTACGCAGAGTCGTGGAAACGATTAGAAGCAGAATGCGATTAGAATTCTTGGATGTGCGTGACTGTGATCACAGTGCTAGTGATTAACAGGACTGTTCCCTAAGATTGTGTCAAAGCATTTAGCTCTGAACACGTTTCCAGACGTGCGGAACACTCGAATTAGCATGTGCGTTCAGAAAGTCTGTCGGATAATGAGATATGAAACTTGTCAGTCACCACTGAAGATGTGTATGTCATAGCTTCAGAGTTGTGCACAGCTATTGTTGCATCGTCCCAACCGAACACTTTGCTGAGATTCGGGTAAGATTTGTGATTTGGGGAATCGTGAATACGAGAAGAAAATTGTACTCATTACGAACTAGTATAGGTTATGGTTACCTCATCTGTTTTTCTGTGTGCTTCATTAAGTTTAATGTTACATTGCTTATATATTTGCCTTTATCCAGTGGATTTATTCTATTAAATATTTAAGTAGGGTTTGTATTTGCTTATGCAACCTTTGAAATGCTGATTGAATTTACCTTATAAGTCATACACAATGCTGGACAACTACATTTTGCAGTCAAATCGGTCTACTTTAATCTGTTTTTGATTCTAGTAGAATCAAGTCAAAGTAAGAATATCAGCGTGTGGGATGTCTAAAAAAATCGATTTTCTGATATTAAAATTCAATACCAGACAGGGGGCATAAATACATTTATTTTTACAATTTTTTTATAGCTTCAGAAGTATTGTTACATTTAATCTGTTATAGAATATATTTAGGGAAAGTCGTTTTTACACTGTCGTTCAACCTGTGTAGTCACCCGCCCTCCTGTCCATCGCGTTTTCCAGTCTTCGCAAAATAGAAAACCTAGTCCGGCGTTATTACACCCCATTCAGCAGACTAGCTCATTCAGTCTGCATGAGAATGGACGTAGAGAGGGAAAGTGAAGTAACAGGACAGGTAGTTACTTAAGATTCATTTTTACGTTATTTTACAGGGAGTTAGTTAAGGTCTAGGAACATAGAAGATAAGAACGTAAATAACAACGTGTTTGAGAACAAAATTCTGAGAGATTTGAGCTAACAAAAGAAAGAATAATATGTAACGAGTAGTTTCATCATGTTTCTGCTTCACTTAAAGATATAACCAAGGTGATTATATCAATAAAAATACATGGGAAGGGCGTGTGGTACGTAGAGGATAAACAATTATTCCTGATTCATTTCGATTAAATAATACAAGACAGGTGTATTCGTGATGGGAAGGTAAATTTAAAGCGGATCTTAAATGTGTGAGTTGCGAAGAAGTGAAATGTAAAGTAATGGTTATATT